TGGTTTAGTCCTGGATTTAGACCTGGTTTAGACCTGGTTTAGTCCTGGTTTTAGACCTGGTTTAGACCTGGTTTTAGACCTGGTTTAGACCTGGTTTAGACCTGGTTTAGACCTGGTTTTAGACCTGGTTTTAGTCCTGGTTTAGACCTGGTTTAGACCTGGTTTTAGTTTCCTGGTTTAGACCTGGTTTAGACCTGGTTTAGACCTGGTTTAGTGTCCGGCAATGAGTGGAATTACTGAAAAAAAAAATAAAAAGGGGATATAGCCCTGAAATGTGAAAACAGGAAAATACCACCATCCACCATGTAATCCATTTACTTCAACAAAGTAACTGTAATCCAATTACTACTCACTGTAACTGTAATTGAATACAGTTACTCATCATTTGTACTCTGAGTATGAATTGCTCGATGACCTGAAGTCCAAAGTTCTTGATGCTTGTTTTGTTGATTAGATGAACAGAACAGAAAACTACATTGACATGGAACAGAAACCGTGTGGTTCCAAACGTTTTCCTTTCCGACCTCGACAATCTGAACCAAACCGGTCTGACCCGTTTTATAAAACCCATCTCCCCGGCTCCTCTCCCTCTCCGTCCCTCGCCGCCTCCCCGCGCCGTTATCTAATAATTAGCGATTTGCACAGCGCGGCGCGGACTTTTATCTGCAATTAATCTATTACGGCGCCGCAGCCGGAGCGCCCCCGAACCGCTTTATTTGTTGTTTACGCACAAAAGTCCTCAGTCTTCCTCCGACAAAAAAAAAAAACCCTGCGAAGACTTTAAGCAGCCGCCGCCTCCGTCTAAAATCCAATTACATCTTTTATCAACTCGACGACGACGACGCATGCTTTAAATTATCGGCCAGAAAACCCCCTTTGACCCGCCAGGAAATAAGGTTACATAATTCATACGGCAGATACGCCCCCTTCGTGCCCGGACTCAGACCCGCTCCAGATATTAGAATCCGGAATCTCTGCGGCGGATCGGTCTATTCCGGTGTCGGCGATAACATTTTCTATCAAAAAATGTTTTTACAGCCCCCATGCAAATCTCTCGTTGTGATCCCGTCTTATCTGATCCGTGTTTTTTTTTATAAAGTGGGAACGTGCGCCGGCGACAGCGTTTTTTGTTTGTTTTTTTTACCTCAGAGGGACGTTTGTTATTTTTTATTTATTTCGCAGACTCCCGCTCGGGGTTTTTGTCACCGCTGTACGGTTTCCCGAGCGAAGTTTTGGGGGAAGACGGAGACGGATCGACGGTGTAAAAAAAGTGGGTTTAATTTGGGGATCGGTAAAACTGGCAGAGGGCAGATCCAGGCAAATGAAGCTCATCGAGGGGGGTAAAATGTTGAAATATCCAGGTCTGAACCAGGACTAAACTAGATCTGAATCAGGGCTAAACTAGGACTAAACCAGGACTAAATCAGGTCAAAACTAGGACTTCATCAGGACTAAACTAGGTCTGAACCAAGACTGAACCAAGTCTGAACCAGGACTAAACTAGATAATCAGGACTAAACAAAGTCTGAACTAGATCTGAACCAGGTCTGAACCAGGACTAAATCAGGACTAAACCAGGTCTGAACCAGGACTAAACCAGATCTGAACCTGGACTAAACTTGACCTGAACCAGGACTAAACCAAGTCTAAACCAGGACTAAAGCAAGTCTGAAACAGGACTAATTTAGGTTTGAACCAGGACTAAATCAGGACTAATCTAGATCTGAACCAGGACTGAACCAAACCAGTACTAAGTCAGGTCAAAACTAGGACTAAACCACATCTGAATCAGGACTAAACTAGATCTGAACCAGGACTAAACCAGGACTAAATCAGGTCAAAACTAGGTCTTAACCAGGAAGAAACTAGGACTAAACCAAGCCTGAACCAGGTCTAAACAAGGTCTAAACCAGGATTAAATCAGGTCAAAACTAGGACTGAATCAGGACTAATCTAGATCTGAACCAGGACTGAACCAATTCTGAACCAGGACTAAAACAGGTCTGAAACATGACTAAACCAGGTCTAAAACTGGTCCAAACTAGGACTAAACCAGGTCTGAACCGGGACTAAACTAGATCTGAACCAAATCTAAACCAGGACTAAATCGGGTCAAAACTAGGACTTCATCAGGACTGAACCAAGTCTGAACCAGGACTAACCAGGACTAAAACAGGTCTGAATCACGACTAAACCAGGTCTAAACCAGGACTAAACTAGATCTGAACCAGGTCTGAACCAGGACTAAATCAGATCAAAACTAGGACTTCATCAGGACTAATCTAGATCTGAACCAGAACTGAACCAAACCAGGACTAAAACAGGCCTGAAACACGACTAAACCAGGTCTAAATCAGGTCCAAACTAGGACTAAACCAGGTCTGAACCACAACTAAATCAGGTCAAAAGTGGGACTTAACCAGAACTAAACCAGGACTAATCTAGGTCAGAACGAGACTAATAATTTGTAAAAAAAAAAGACTCAAACATGTGAATGAAA